AGACAACCAGGGATCCACAAGGTCATGCCAACGGGGCCCCCGGAAAGGACCCCAGGGAGGGGAGAGAAAGGTGGGACGCTTACTTACTTCTTGTTATCCGTGTAGAAGCGTGTTTGGAGCTGAGCCATGACGGGGCGGACACGATACTCGCCCGCAGAAACGTACGGGTTGGCAGTCAGAGAACAGACCTCGGGACTTCAAAGAGACAGCTCAAAGGCAGACTGCACAGATAAGCGAGCAGCTGCCGTCGAGACCCGACCGCCGCTTTCCTTTCTTGGGTCTCCTCAGAGGAAGGCACCACGAGGCTGCCTTTCCGCAGACGCCCAGCCTACAGACATCGACTACCTATCTAGATGATCTAGGAATCATCGATGAGGAAAGTCTCAAAGGTAGCATGTCAATTTAACCTTTTTTCGATTTATTCCCATAAATTTAGGACTGTTATATACTAGTAAGATACGGAAAGACTTCATTCAAAACTTCTTTTAAAATTTTTTTTTCTTAAATTAAGAGACTGTCCTGAGCCCTGATAATTCAAAACAGCTCCTAAATACTACGATTTCCAGAATGCAGAGCTTCTCAAACGCTGTGACTGCCGGGAATTGTAGTCTTTTTTTTTTTTTTTTTTTTGCCACGCCGCCTTCGGGATATCTCATTTGCATTAAATCCTCCTCTCGCCAGCCAGATTTTAAATGGCCTCTGTTTGCAGCTTTGGTTGACTAAAGCCTTGCCTGGTTTCTTTTTTCATGGATTTTTCAACTAGCACCTCATTCAGCCGACATTTTCCTTGAGTTCTCGCCTCTGGCTTCGGATTTTAGATCCAGGCGTGGTGCGGAAACACGACCAAAAAAAAAAAAATCCACAACGAATCAGAAGGGAAATGGGCGACGGTGGCTGATAGGGGTCCTAACCGCGTGGGACTGTCCTGCGCGGTCCCGGAGTGCTGCGCCTGCGCAGTGTGCTGGTCTCCATGGCGGGACCTCGGAGCCAAGACGAGGTTGAGTAGACTCGTTTTGAATTTTCTCCCCTCTGCTCCAGCGGACCTCCCTTCTCGCCTTGTGGGGCTGTCGGCGGCGGCAGGACTGGAGGAGTCGGAGGTTTGGCAGCGCAATCTGCGCCGACCTACCGGACGCTATCTCCCAACCCCCCTCTCTTCCTCCTGCCTCCTCCTCCCGTCACCTTCTGACCCGATGGGCTCGGGCCGCTGCCGGCCTCCGCCCCCACGGGAGCCCGGCGCTGGCGGCGCTCTCACGCTCAACCTCGAGCCTTTCCGGGCCCTCGCCTGGCGGGGCCCACCACCCCCGGCCCGGGAGGGGGCTCGCGGCCCCGGGGAGGCAGGCTGGAGGAGGAGGTTAGGTGTCTTGAGGGTTTGCGGAGCCCGAGGACGCGCCATCGCCGCGGAGGACCCGGACCCTCCGGCGCGGGGCCCCGAGTGTGGTTGCTCCGCCTTTTGAGGTCCCTTCTCGCCCTTTCTGAGCCTTTTTATACCTTATGTTTAGAAGGGGAAAATCATCCTTCCACACCTTCTTCCTCGCTTTTTAAAACTTTTTTGTCTTTAAGTTTCCCCGAAAGTGTCTATCTTTTTCTCAGCGGCCCCAAGAATTAATCTAATTCAATATAGTAATTGTTTTTCTGAGGAAGAAAAGAAGGATGGATGGAGAGATAACGGTCCAGACCCCAAAGTCACTTTTTAAGGCGATCCCCCAGAAAAGCTCCAAGAGGGAGACTTCATGACCCGGCAGTTTAGAGTCAGGCAGAACTAGACTACAAAATTTGTGGGCAGAGTGGTATGTGTGCAGGTGAACACAACTAAAGCTTTCCTTTTTTACGTTGCAGAAAGATGTACTACAGTTAAGTAGACGCCTAATACTTAAATCGACTGTAGAAAATAAGAAGATTTTTTTTTAAATGGAAGCGAAAAAAATATTTTATTAGAGAGCAATGACAATAAAAATAGGACCCTTTTCAGTTTGCTCACCTTTGTAGAATGTGAGCCCTGGATCCAAAATTCCTCGGTTGGAATCCTGCCTCTTGCTACTTAATTAACCTCTTTGTACCACACTTTGGCAACTATTAGAATTGAATGCCACCTAGGAAGCAGTATATGTTAATTATTGCCATCATAATAGTTATCGTTTCAAGTTTAACTAGAGGCTTTACCAGTGTGAACAAATAAGGGAGAATAGCCATATGGGTGAAGGAATAAAATGCAGAAACCTCTATGTCGAAGTTCCATTAGGACTGGGCTTGCTAACAAGAGATGGTTGTTTTAACCATGATCATTGTAACGATGAGGATTTACACATTAAATAAGTTGGGGCACCTGAAGCTTGAAGCACTTTCTTAAGGAAGTCTTGCTGTTGAATCCATATTTGTTGGTAATATATCATTGGTTAAAATAGCTTTTAAAAATGTATGCTTGATCAGGATAATACATTTTTAGCTATCATTAATTTGGAGTTTTTAAAAATAAGGGTAAACAATACCTAATAGAGTCAATACAGTTTGATCTTGATCTGAATTTAAATAGATGATCAGGGAAATACAGAATTTATATGCTTAATAAGTTAAGACTTTCAGTTTGCAAAACAGAAATCTTGAATTCTCTAAATTTTTCATTTGACTGGGGACTTTGGTTAAGGAAAGATTAGTTTATAAGTGTTTCAAAATAACTGAACACCAAGTATTATGTTTTTAGGTTTTTTCCATCAGTGACTTCCATGTCATGTTTGGTGCTGCCTCCAAGTAGTACCTATGATAGCTAATGTGTTTACATTGAATGTTTTTTAGTTAGAACATAACTGAAAGCTTTTGGTTCTTAATCATTTTCTGTGGTATTTATTTACTGTGATCCTCATGAATACACATTGTTATCTGGAGAACCACAGTTTGGAATATGTATTCCTTTTTTTTATAGCTTCTTTTTTTCTATATATAATGGCATAGTGTGGTATTGTATAAAAACTGTGTATGGGCTATGGAGTCTTAAATGTTTTTTGGGGTTTTTTCCCTACTTGGTTTTGAATCTGAACTTAATGCACTCTAATCTTAAGCAATTTACTTGACAGTTTCAGTTTTCTTATTTATAAACAGAGATAAAAAGATCTACCTCAGAATCATTGAAATGATTAAATGAAATAATTTGCAAAGCTCTCAATTAAACAGCAAAGAGGTGAAAAAAGGTATGTATGTGCAGGGTAAAAAATGATTAGAAACCAAGAGTACAGGGAGGGCAGACCCTCAAATAAGAGAAAGGAGAGCAGCCGGGCTCGGTGGCTCAGCTTGTAATCCCCCGCCTTTGGGAGGCTGAGGTGAGTGGATTGCCTGAGCCCATGGGTTCGAGACCCGCCTGGGCAACTTGGCAAGACCTCGTCTCTACAATAAATCAAAAAATTAGCTGGGTGTGGTAGTGCACGCCTGTAGTTCCAGCTACTTGGAAGGCTGAGGTGGAAGGATCGCCGGAGCCCCAGCAGGTCGAGGCTGCGGTGGCCGGGAGCGGCCACTACACTCCAGTCTGGGTGGCAGAGTGAAACTCCAACTCAAAAAAATAAAAATAAAAAGAGAAAGGAGACATTGTGAACTCCAGTGTTAGTTTCTTTCCTGAAAATTAAAGCATTATTATTATTATTATTATTATTATTTGAGTTGGAGTCTCACTCTGTCGCCCAGACT